AAAAAAAACATGCCAAAGTGACAAACGTTTTCGGAAGCTACAATCTGTGTATTCTTTACCAGACTTTAAAAATTAAGTGCTGTCCCTGAACTCACCTTTAAATTAAAGTGTAATGATGTAGCGCAAGAGTAACAACCATCACTCTTGAGTATGGTGGTTCTTTAAAGAACAGAAAAAAACCTGCATTCGGGCCACCATATTGCTCCGAGGAGTTCCAAAGCACACGGGTATGTTCCAAACAAAACGTGTCTCATAGTCGCTGTGATCAGTGGATGGCTGCAGGCAAGTTTTCTCAGTAAGACAATTGTCGGGGTCTCATGACGGCCAATCAAATCCATGGCTTCTCAGGGTAATCTGCTGGTCCAGTTAAATGCAAGGCTCAGAGGTGAGCCCAGGTGATGGTGACCGTCTTGGGGGAACTCCAAGGGAGTAATCTGAACAGATATTGTTGAAAGGACACAAGGAAATCCCACGGACTCAGTCTGCACTTTTAAGAAAACCGAAAACTGCACCTGTGAAGAAAAGGCCAAAAATTCTGTCCCATCCCAACAGGGACACAGGAGCAGGAACAAGTGAAGGGAGCCACGTTTAATGAAAACACAAACCATCAGGTGCCAGGCATCAAAGACCCAGAACAAAAGATCATATCAATGTGAATGAAGGGGAGCGCAGAGTAGAGACCCAAAGTCCATCTACAGACAATTGGACACCCCCTTACAGAAGGGTCACAAGGAAGAGATGAGCAAGTCAGGGTGCAGGGTAGCACTGACAAAACATACAACTTTCCTCTAGTTCTTTAATGCCTCCCCCCACTATCATGACCCCAATTCTACCTTAAATCCAGCTAGACCAGAGCATGTACATGGGTACAGATAAGAGCTTGCAACACAGGGAATCCAGGACAGATAAGCAGCACCAATAATGAGAGTAGTGATACCAAGTGGGGAAGGAACCAATCACAATGATCTACATATAACCCGCTTCCAGGGGACACAGTCTCCTTGAAGGGCGACAGTGGTCGTTGTAAAACATGAAAAAATATATAAATTATGAAG